GGGACGAGGGAGGAGCCTCTGCCCACTTGGCAGTGAGGAAGCTTCACATAGCTGCTGTACCCCAAATCCTCTGCTCCCACAGGGGTTACAGGAGGTCCCTAAAATCTCCCTGCACCCACAGTGAACCCCAGCATGTGGCTGGGCCTTGGAGCCTGCCTGCTGGGGGTGCCCCAGAGGGGCTGGGGGCCTGCAGCAGAGCCAAGGCCCATAGGAGGATGTGGCTGGTCCTCAGCAGGGCCAGAGACAGCCCAAGAGCAAGCCAGCTGTGTCCCCCTGGGCCCTGCATGGCGGGCACCATGGATGGAGAAGCTGGCCCAATAGTTCTAGACTGGTCTAGAGGATGCCAGACAGTCTCTGGGAACTTAGCTTGCCCTGGAGGGAAGGAGCTGGGGAGGGGAGAGAATCTTGTATTGGCTGCGTTCAACTTCCAAAGCTACCATGCTTACAGCTGGAAGTGACCGAGCTCCCCTGACCTAGAAAATTGTGTTTCCACCACCGGTGAAATGGTGGCCTGTAGGTGCCCTGAGCAGACTGAAACAAAGAATCTCACAGCTGGGTGGACTCGGGGCTGTGCTCCAAGCTTCTGCCCCAGGCACAGGCATTGATGCTCTTGCTCCTTTCCCAGCTCCTTTCCCCAGCTCTGGGAAGGAGGTGCTATCATGACTAGCCCAGGTTTTCAGATGGGGACAAGAGTTTTAGAGAGGAAAGGACTTGCCCAAGGGCCCCCAGGCCAGCAACACAGGGAGGTCAGCCTTCAGAGCTCTCTCAACAGCCCACCGCGCTAAAGCATGGACTGGCTTCCCACTGCCGGTGAGGGCCCGCCCGCCCCGGCCTCCACACAGGCTGCCCCTTTGCCTGGACCCGCAGCTCCCACCTCTGTCCCTCAGCTTGGGAAATTCCTGTTGTGCTCCAGGAGTCAGCTGAGACGTCACCCCTTCCAGGAGGCTTTCCCTGAGTCCCAGGCGGGGCCCCAGGCCCACGCTCTCATCACACGTGTTTGTGCCCCTCCCTGCTCATCTGGCGCCTCCCTTATTGGCCCCATCCCCCGACAAACACCTGCTGGGAACGGGCGCCAAGGGGGAGGGAATGAGTCAGCGCTACTGGCAGCCCTAGTATGGGACACACGTGGCCCATGTAGGGACACAAGGTGTGGGCCCTCCTGTGGCCATGAGGTTAAGGCCACATCTGCTTATGACAGACAGGAAGGGAGCATGGAGCCGTGACTTCAGGGGTTGCGTAAGACTGCAACAGGAAGGGGCTTGCTCTCTGACTTTCACTGTGAACGTTCCACTTCAACAAAATGTAAGTATTCATAATTATTCTGTGTCTCCCAAGTCGGTGTGGAAAGGGGAAGTTCCCTGAATGTTCCGGGCACTGGGGATAGCCCTGCCACCCACCCATTTCCGTCCCTGGGTGACGAGGGTACATGCTCAGTCCTGGAACTAGAAAGGCCTGAGCCTCGCCCACAGGCCCTCCCCGCACGCTACCACCTTCTGCACGAGAAGCAGGCCCAGTGATGCTTTGTGGAGCCATCAGCCACTTTTTGGCAGTTGGGACAAACTCCCCCACCCACCTCCCCATCTCTGGGCAGAAAGGGAGTGGTCTTCATACTGTAGGAGAGCCTCAGGGGCTGTGGGCACCCCGCAATGCCCAGCGGGTCTCAGGCATGCCCAGTCCCTGTTCCCCGACACTGCCACAAACAGCCCTTAGGGGTTTAATAAACACCAGCGTTGCCCCAAAGCAGAAAGCCCTGTGACTCACCGAGGCTTCTTTAGGAGCGGTGGCAGCCACCAGAAGGCTTAGCTGTCTTTGACAGATGAGGAAACTGGGGCTCAGAGAGGGATGTGATCTTCTCAAGACCACACAGCCAGTCAGTGGCAGAGGCAGAGAGAGATGCAGGTCCCCTGTCTTGTGCCCAGCCTGCACCCCCACCTGCCCCTGGACCCCGCCCTTGAAGCTCAGGTTGTGACAAGGACACATTTCATTGCACTTGCCTCCACACTCGGAGCGATTCATTAGTATCAAAAACATGTTCCGCACCACCCTTGCCAGAAGATTCTTGACACATACAAAGTTGGGGGTTTGGCATAATTCCTCTCCCTTGTTAAGCATTTATGTATAATGAGTGCTGGAGTCGCCCCTTGAAACTGTCCAACGCCCCCCACTTTCAGAAGGCGAGGCTCAGGGTCAGGGTCAGGTTGGAGCAATTCAGTGGCACAGCGGGGACACGAGTCCACAAAGCCCGCCCTGAACTCTTCAGCTGCTCCTTTGCAGAGGGGCCATGAGGAGGAAAAAAAAAGAAAAAGAGAAAAGAAAAACTACCACTTACAAGCATCTACTCTGTGCCAGGCGCTTCACGTAAATCGGTGCTAAGCCTCCTCGTCATCCTCATGCGGAGGCATCCTTAGCCCCACTTCGCAGATGAGCTGGCTGAGGCTCAGAGAAGGCAAGCCCAAGGGCGCAGAGCTACACCAGGGGTTGGCAGCCTATAGCCTGGGGACCAAATCCAGCCCCAAACCTGTGTTTGTTGAAATGATTGGAAAAAAAAAAAAAATAGAAGAATAACATTTTGTGACTGGTGAGAATAATATGGAATTCACATTTCGGTGTCCATAAATAAAGTCTTACTGGAGCACAGCCATCCCCATTCGTTTACGCATCATCTACGGCTGCTTTAGACCCATAACAGCAGCAGGATTCAGTTGCAACAGAGAATGTATGGGCTGCAAAGTCTAAAAAATATTTACTATCTGGCCCTTTGCAGAAAAGGTTTGCGGACCCCTGTCCCATACTGTGCCATCTCCCGCGGGGTCTGGAAGGCCTGCAGGACCTCCCTGTGGCTGCGCAGACTGTTCCCAGCAGAAGGGCATCAGGGCTGACATCCAGACCTTCTGCTTGCAGCCGCGTGTCCTGGGGTTGGGTCCCCTGCAGAAGGGGCCTTCTCTGAATTTGTTCACCTGGAGTGCACTTGTTCTTACGGGGACAAGGTTACCAGCAGTGGTACCCACTCCTCTGCCCATCACCGTCCCTGGGGAGGCAGCCTCACAGCACAGCCCCAGAAGGAGCTACAAGTGAAGGTGGGGAAAGGGCAGGGGCTGGAGATGAGGAGAAGCCAGAGGGAAGGAAGGGGTGGCTGGGCACAAGCTGGGCTTCCAGCTGGCTTCAAAGGCCCAGTCACCAGGGGCGAAATGAGAATTCTCTACCTTTCAAGTGACTCCTGGTGGTGGGGGGTGGGGGGGGCAACGATTTATTCTTCTTGACTTTTGAGGCTATAAAAGGCTTCCCACCTCCTCTCCCTCTGCTCTCCTTCCCCTGACTTCCTCTCTGGGGGTGTGAGGGGGTCTCACTCCCCAAACTCTCTGAAGAGAGAAGATGAAAAGGACTGACTTCTGCTGTGGCCCCCGGGCTCTGCGGTGGTGGTGGTGGTGGCGGCGGCGGCTGCTCGGCGGGGCTGTGCGGCTGTGCCCTGCAGGCCTGAGAGCAGCGGAGCCCCCTCCCCTCGGGCCTGGGGGGGGTGGGCTGGGGGGGACTGGTGGTCCAGGACGCAGCCTCAGGCCTAGAGCTCCCTGCGCAGGACAACAAACGCTTGCTGAAGGAGAATTGGGAGCATGCGTGGAAGGAGGTGGAGAGGAGAAACAGAGGGAAGGAAAGAAAACAAAACCAAATGGAAGAAACAAAGGGAGAAGAGGCAGGAAACGAGGAACGTGGAAAACATTACACCGAGTGAGACAGCCAGGCACAAAAGAGCTGCATTACCTGGAATGTCCAGCACAGGCAATTCTATAGAGACAGAAAGTAGATTGAGTGGCTGCTTGGTTGGGGTGGAAATCAGGGACTGGGAGGTGATGGCTAAAGGCTACTGGGTATCTTCTGGGGGTGATGAGAATGTTCTAAAACTCATTGTGGTGGTGGCTGCACAACTCTGTGAATATAAAAACCAGGGAATTGTACACTTGAAATGAGTAATCGTATAGTACGTGAAGCGTATCTCAATAAAACTGTTATATAAAAGAAAGAAAATAAAAGAAAAGAGACAAAACGAGAGGAAGAAAGAGGGAAAGAGATGGATGGTGAAGGACAAAGCTTCGTGGCTGTTAAAGCACCTGCCGCATGCCAGGAATTGTGCCGAGTTCCTGCATCCCCACTCCCTTCGTTCTTACAACAACTCTGCAAAGTGAGTCTGACAGTGACCACAGCTCTATAGGTACGGAGACGCAGCTCAGACTGTCCCGTGACCTGCCTCACCTCACCCAACCCCTGACTAGTGGTGGGGCCCGGACTCACGCTGGGGCTCCCTAACCTCCACGCCCGAGGTGGGAGAACACCCCAATGGCCTTGAGGTGTGACCACCGCAGCCAGCAGGATTCCAACATGTAGGGGCAGCTGGCCCCTTAGTGAGGTGCGAGCTGCCCCGGGCGCCTGTAAGAGGAGCGCTCATGAAAGCCATTAAGAAAGGATGGAATCAATGTGCCAAAAGGTTAGACTATTTTAGACTGACAAATAGAAATGGTAAACAATAGGATATATTGGAGAATATGAGGAAGTCATTTGGTGTAAACCTAATTCGGCCTGACTTTGTTTTTCCAAAAGGGGCTGACGTGGCCGTGGCTGTTGAGCATGTGTTATATATCTGCTTAAGCATTTGCTCTGTCCCAAAGACAAGAACAAACGGCCTTAAGATAAAGGTGAAACTTCCCCTCACGTTGGCATTTCATTAAGGATAAGCATCTTTGCCTAGGCTAGGAACTGATTGCTGTGCTCACCTGTGACCACCCAGCTTGAGACAACAGACCTGCCCCCCTGCTGTGTCCACCGAGACAGCAGACCTACTACCTGCTGTGTCCATCAATCGCTGTGCTGACAGAGCAGTCTTGTGACTATTGTAAAAGGGACATTTCAATCCTATGTGGAACATCCTCTTTGAGGGTATACAACCACTCTGTACACCCCAATTCTTTGGTGCCCTTCCTTCCTTCGAGAAGGAAGGCCCCGGGCTACATGGTCCTCACATTTTGGCTCAGAATAAACTCACCCCAATTTTCATTTATAGATTGGATATGGATTATTTGTGTCAACAAGAACCACAAGTGACACAAGTCAGCAAGTCTGGGCTCCTAAAGGGGTAAGTTATGCAAAACTTCCTTTCTGAGCAACATCTTCTCCAGAAGCCTGTGTGCATTAGTCACGTCCCCTTTCACTCCGTGGTACCGCAGCCTCCTCTGCAGAGACTGGACCCTGAGCTGACAGACAGTCAGCCATGCCTCCCCTGGGCCACCGGCCTCCGGCCAAACCAAGACATGCAGTGGAGGTGGACTGGACAGCTCCACGTCGTCTGGAACTCTGGATTGCAACCCCAACTTGGAAGGGCACTTCCTGTGCTTTTGGCACGAGTCACCTCACCTTGCTGGGCTTGTCTGTAACACAGCCGGCAGGGCACGCGGCTGGGCTGCTGCCCAGGATGCTTTTCTACCCGGAGACTGTGATTCAGAGCTGGCAGTGAATTCGGCTGGGAGGCCTGCCCCAGTGCCATCATTTAAGGGAAGCCCATTGTGACAGCCAAGTTAAAAAGGGAAACATGAATTTCTGAGTCCCCGCCGGGTTCCTGGAACTTGCCTCTTTGAGACTTGTCTTCCTGATCTCTAAAGCGGGGGCAGCACTTCTCATGGCTCTTGGGAACTTAGAATGAGGTATGTGCTCATTCACTCATTCATTCATTCAACAAATATTACAAGGCCTCTCCTGAGCCAGGCACAGTGCTAGGTGTTAGAGAGACAGCAGTGAACAACAGAGGCAGGGGTCTGTCCTTGGGGAGCTTAGGCTCTGGGGGAGCAGACATGAAACAGATGCATCAAGAGGGATGAGAGGACGGCCTGGCCTGAGGGGAGGGCCCGTGGGGCGCCAGGGCCTTGGCTGTGAGGGTAAGACTCTGTACTGGGTTTTAAGAGCACCAGGAGGAGCAGGGCACGACCCCATTTCTGTTTGGAAATGCTCTCTCTGGCTGCCGAGAGAAGGAGAGCAGAAGGAGGGGCCAGGCCCAGGGCAGAGAGGTGAGCTGGCCAGAGGGGTGTGGGGCACCTGCATCCCTTTGCACCTCTTCTCCAGAGGTCTTTCTCCAGGTGCCTGGGAGCACCGCCGCCTGGGCGCAGGGCTCTGCAGGAATGAGGCGCGCCCTCCGCAGAGGGAGACTGCAGATCTCCAGGTGCTTGTGAATGTTATTTCCCTGCCATGGGAGATTACCCAGAGCAAGAGAGTGTGGAAAAGGGACCCAAGAGCCCCAGGCAGAGGTCCAGAGATAGGGGTCTATTCCCAGACTCAGATAGGTCGCTTGTCTCCCTGTGCCTTAGTTTCCCCAACTGCCATCCATGGGACTAGCACTGAGTCTGGGCTAAGTTCAAGTCCAGGCAGCACTTCACTGTGGAAGGAGCTGGGGCTTTGGGGTCACAGGGGCTTGAGCTCGACCCTAGCTCTGCACACATGAGGCCGAGGGGCCGAGGCCGGCTGCTATGCTTCTGGAAGCCTGCTGCTGGCCAGGGGCCCACACTTTGAGAGCCACTGCCCCAGAATAACATCCTTCAGGGATCAGGGCCTCTGCTTGGCTCAGTGTTGGGCCCTGAACAGTGCTGGCCCACAGCCAACCCTTGGTGAGTGCCTGTGGGTGAACAGACTCTGAGTGGCTTGTTTGACGGGGACAGAGGGGGTAGAGGGTGGGTGTGGGCCTGGGGAGGGCGGCAGAAGGTAGTCAGGGACCAAATCATGAAGGGTCTCTAATGCCAGGTTAAGGAGCTGGGACCTTGTGGCAGCTGGATGTGGTCTCCAGAGATGTCCACAGCCCCATTGCTGAACCTGAGAATGTTACCTCACATGGCAAAAAGGACTTTGCAGACGTGATTAAGTTAAGGAATTTGGGATGGGGAGGTTATCCTGGACTATCCTGGTGGGCTTTAAATGTGCCCTTATAAGAGGGAGGCAGAGGCAGCTTTGGCTATAGAAGAGGAGAAGATGTGACCATGGAGGCAAGAGGCTGGAGTGATGTGAGGAAGGGGCCGTGAGTGTGGGCGGCCCCCAGAGGCTAGAAAAGACAAGGAAATAGATCCTCCTGTGAAGCCCCAGAAGGAACCAGCGCTGCCACCACCTTGATGTCAGACTCCTGCGCTCCTGGACTATAAGAGAATACATTTGTGTTGTTTTCAGCCACCAACTTCATGGTCATTTGTTGCAGCAGCCCTAGGAAACGATCATGGGCCTATATCTAGTAGGAGCAGAGGAAGCTGCTGGGCAGGGGTGTTGGAGCAGACAGGGCGTCCAGGGGAGAGGTGATGGGGGCGGGGGGCAGAGGCAGCCAGTCGGGGTCAGGAAGGGGCAGGCAGAAAATCCTTCTTCGGAGGTGGCCGCTGGTTTGCAGCAGGGAAGGGAGGACTGGCCAGCTCAGCAGTCTCTCCTGGAGGCTCCCTTCCCCCCACCAAGGGCAGGCCCAGATCAGTCCTAGGAATTCTAGGCTCAGGCACACACTCCTGCCCCCTTGGCAACGATAGGGCTTTCGGTCAAGTCAACACTGGCTTTTGTTCCCACTGGGAGAACAGGAAAGACACGCTATCAGTCATGGGGGAAGCTGGGAGCTGACCTTATGGAGGGCCACACGAGGCCCTGAACGTCCTGACAGCCCAGTGGGAAAATTATCCTCTGGCTGTTCCTGTTTCCTGCACCCCCATGTCCCTGCCATGATCTGAAGCCCTCTGACTGGTTCCCCATCCTCCTCTGCCAAACCCCTCTGCCCACGCTCCCGGGGGGCTGGAGGAGAGAGCACGGCTGTGGACCCGAGGAACAGGTACTCCACGGCTGCTGTGTGTGACCAGGACATGGCCTTTTGGCTGGTCTTAGCTTCTCCACAGCCCCCACCCAGGGCGGCCATGAGGATCAGAGGAGAAGCGAGCAGAGGAGAAGTGTGTCCCCAGAGGACAGTCAGTGAGGGGGGTTGCTATTTCTGCTGATGCTCAGATCTTGGCTTTGGCTGACTCCCTAGCTTGTTGCTTGGGCAATTTACTTAACTTCTCTGAGCCTCAGTGTTCCCACCCGTAAAGTGGAAACCAAACAACCACTTACTCCACAGGGTTGTGTGAAAAAAGAGATGAGGCCATGCGTCTACAGGGCCTTCACCATCTGCATTTAAAGCTCAACTCAGAGGTCTGCTCCCTGGCCCGTGCACTGCCTCATTCGGGTGCCCAGTGCCCTGGGTTTCAGTCCTTGGCACATGCTGCACTGCACCATTGCCAGCCTGCTCCTCAGCTGGACTGCGAGCCATCACAGGTAGCACGGGGTGGGGCTTTGCTTCATCTCCCTTCACACCCTTAGGACCTGGCACAGGGTTGGGGACGGGATGCCCTCCCAGAGGATTAACACAGAGAAACAAGGGCAAACAGGTAAAACTGGCACCTAGCGGGTGTTCTGTAAGTGTTAGTTATTGGTGTTAACGCTTATTGAATATGCTTCCCTAGGGATTAGGGGGAAAGGCAGCCCATTAGCCCTGGGGTCGCAAGTAGGAAGTGGTATGCATGGCTAGACTGAACCATGATAGCTGCTTTGTCCTTTGTTTGCTTCATGAACTAAATGGGCTTTGCACTGGAGGCTGCTTCCTGAATGAGGGGGTGTGGAAGGACGTGGTCAGATGGGCATCTTATCCATCAGGGCTGGGTGTGGAAGTCCCCAGATCTGCATTTTGGAGAGACACCTTTGGGTGGCTTGGAGGATGGATTTGAGAGGGAGACTCTAGAGGCAGGGAGGCCAGGAGGAGGCTGAATGTAAGAGCTTATTCCAGCAGGACAGCACTGCAAGGGTGGAGGGCCCGGGGCCCAAGGCTAGCGGGGAACACTCCGCACCTGGCTGCTGCAAGGACCAGAGGGGCCATGAGGCCCGGGTGTCTAGTTGGACAGTTTGGCCCCCACAATCCTCCACAGAGGGCAGGATCCACAGTGTGTGTGGGTCTGCAGTGTCTGCCTGTTTTTCTCGAGGCTGCTGCTCACTGCTCGAGAGGGGACGTGCATCCCAGGAGGGATCGTAGGGCCTGTTCGCATCCCTTAGCTCACGTGCTTCAGGTAACTCTGGGAGGCCAGCAGGGCCGGCTGCGTGAGGACAGACCCCACACTCTAAGACATGAGGAGACTGAGGCCCGAGAGGGGCAAGGACTTGCTCAAGCCACAGAGTGAGCGAGGGCAGAGCTGAGATCGCGGCCACGCAGTTGACTTCCCATACCTGTTCGTCACAACAAAGGCCAAAAAGATCACTTCTACATCCCCAGTGCTCAGCACAGTTCCCGGCACGTGGTGGGAAGCTGACAAATGTTTGCAAATGAATGAATGAATGAATGAATGAATGGGTCAGTCTCATAGACCAGCATTGTGGGAGGCCCAGGCATAGTCTGTTGGAAGAGAAAGGGAAGTGCCATTTACGGAGCCCTTCTCCGTGCCAGCTGTTCTGCAGCATCCTTTCATCTACTCCTCTCAACAGCTCGAGCTGACTAGACTCTGCCTTCCTCTCCATGCCGGGAGCTTCCTCAGCACCACTCAAGTCTTTGGTGGGGTTTCCTATAATACCCTGCACTGGCTTCATCACCAGGGAATTTATCTAAATCTCGTTCCGATCCTGTTTATCTTTTCAGCCTGGATACCTCTTGGGGATGGAATCCCCAGGCATCCTCTCTCTTGCATCTCCTATATCCTGAACGTGCAGTGGTCTCCAACCTTATTTTTTTATGCCACCTTGATTTTGTTCTATTCTCTTCCCGTCTCTCAGGGACCAGTGCCACATCTCCCTTCACTGATGTCCTCATCTCATGTTTCTGGTTCACGTCTTAGAGGTGAACCAGAGCCCTCTTCCCAAAGCACAGATCTGCCTGGGTTGCCCTCACCCCAATTCTAATCCTTCCATCTTGGCCTAAGACCTATGAGATAATGTCCAAGCCCTCAGCCTTGCCTTCAAGGCCCCGCCTTCCCCACTCGGCCAGTCCTCTTTCTCGAGTCCTCTTTCTCCTGCGACTTGAGTGCCCCCTGGGGAATGAGCTGATGCATAGTAGGTGCTCAATGAATGCACACAAGCTAGGTTTCTCATGTGAACCCCAGGTGGCAGCATGTGTGCATGGCCATCCGAGGGCTGTCCTGGGTGGTTTGGTAGGTGGGCCTTAAACTTAGGGTTCTTGATTATAAGGACAACGTAGCTAGAAAACAGGGCCCACATGTTCTGGAGTTGGGGGACCCCTGTCCAGGTCCCAGCTGTGTGGCCCTGGCCAAGTTCTCTGAGATTTAATGTAGTCCTTTTAAAATGGAGGTGAAAAGTTCTATCTCAGGGGGCTGTTGAGAGGATGGCATAACATGAGGTTTGCAAAGTGCTCATGAAGAGCACCAGGATCTTGTGAACAGTTGCCACCTTAATGGCTACCATTAATGGGACCTCCTCCCCATGTCCCCGACCTGCATGCACACTGCGAGGGTAGTTACCTGTCTGTGGCTCCCCGGGGGACCGTGACCTCTGTCCCACTCCACACCTGGAGCTTCAGGGGCTTCTCTTCCTGCCGCCTGGGTTCTGGGCTTTGATTCCTGGACAGCTGAGAGCTGTTGGACCTCAGAAAAGTTTCACGGGCGTTGCAGCCAGCCAACCTGCAGTGGAAGAGCTGCTGGTATGCTGTGCGGAAGTCTCTGTTCAGTGCAGCGTACAGGATGGGGTTCAGGGCCGAGTTGGCATAGCCTAGCCACAGAACGACGGCTTCAATGACCTCATTGACGGCTTCATCCCCTTTCAGCCCACGGTAGACAAACACGGTGAAGTAGGGGAACCAGCAGATGATGAAGGCTCCCATCACAGCGGCCAGCGTCACTGTGGCTTTGTGCTCCTTGATGGTGGCTGCCTTCCAGGAGCCGACGTGATGGATCCTCCTGGCCTGATCCCGGGCGATCTTGAAGATGCGGTAGTAGGTGATGCACATGACCAGCAGAGGCAGGTAGAAGGTGACCAGCCCGTCCACCAAGCCGTACACCAAGTTGACCTGGACTTTGCACTTCGAGGCAGTGTGATTGACCCCTGTCAACAGCTCTGACGAGCTGTTCTCGCTCCTGCTGTTCCACCCCAGGTGGATAGACAGGAAGGACAGGGTGATGGAGATGACCCAAATTAAGACCAGGGAGATGACCACCCGGACAGGAGTGACCAGCACCGGGTAGCGCAGGGGGTCCGTGACAGCGCAGTACCGGTCGAGGCTGATCATGAAGAGGTTGAGGATAGAGGCTGTGCAGAGCATGACATCGAGGCTGGTATAGATATTGCAGAACACCTCGCCAAAGCCCCACGTGCAGGACAGCTGGTAGAAGGCCGAGAAGGGCAGCACCAGGAGGCCGAGGAGCAGGTCAGTGATGGCCAAGGATACAATGAAGCAGTTGGTCAGACTGCGGAGCCGGCGGTTCAAGCCCACGGCCAGGCAGACCACCACGTTGCCAGCAATGGTGATAAGGATGAGAACAATGAGGACCACGCTGACAGTGACCTTGCATGCGGTAGAGTCCAGACAATAAGGAGGGGCTGTGCCATTGGACGCCATCCTAGGACCCTACAGCACCTTCTTCCACACGGCCCCTGGCTACTTTTCACCCAGCTCCCCACCGCGTCAGTTCCGTCAACCCCTGGGCTCCGGGCTGAACAGAGCCAAAAGAAAGCGTCCAAACATGAGGAGGCTACAATGACCTAGGCTGTTTCTCTAGAAATAAATAAAGCAGTCTCCTAGGAGGTGTTGGGCAGGAGTATTCATGAAGAAGAGGGAAAGCAGACAGGAATTCGTGGTTCACACTCCAGTCCTCAGATGGCCCCCTGCAGAATGGGCTCCTCCGCGGACTGGAGCGGGTCTCCGCTCTCCAGGGTCTGCACAGAGACTGGGGCACTGGGGAGTGTGTCTGCAGGTGGCTTTGGCTTTATGCGGGAGGGATCATGTGGAGACATGGGCACATCCTTCTCCATAGCTGGCGGCTGCTCCCATCCATGTGACAGGGGTCAAGGACTGCTGCGTCTCCCTCTCAGGACCGCTGGAGAGCAGGAGCTGAAAACGCAAAGGTCGAGGGTAGAGCACTTTGAAACCAGATCGAGAGTTTGACCTGATTCAGGACGGGTCCTTCTAGACCTTGACCTCCCTATGAGACACCAGGAGGCATGGGGTCATCTCGTTAGGAGCAACAGAGGCAATCAGGATACACAGTGGGAGGAGGAAGGGAGGCAGGAGGCAAGGGGCTGGACCACTGTGTTACCACGCAAGATACAGGTGGAGGGGCTGGGACTGCTTATACTGGAGGAAGAGAGATCTAGACACAGATTCTAAGCTCCAGGAGAGCAGGGGCTGCATCTGCCTGCTCACTGCTGGCTCCCAGTGCCTGGCCCACAGGTAGGCATTAAGTGTCTGCTGGATAGATGATAAAATGAATGAATGACTAAGCCAGTGTAATGAATTATCTTTGAAACTGCTGAGGACAGTGTCTGACACTGTTTTACAAAACGTCATCATGCTCTAAACCAGAGGCCAACAACGTTTTCAGGAAACAGCCAGGTAGCAGATACTCTCTGCTTTATATCGCACAGGGTCTCTGTCGCAACTACTCAACTCTGTCTTTGTCGCACGAAAGCACCTACACTGACAGTGTGCAAATGAATGAGCATGCTCCAATGAGATCTTACTTATGGACACAAATGTGAATTTCACATAATTTTCAAGTGTTGCAAAATCTTCTTCTTCTTTTGATTTTCTCCCACTCTCTAAAACTATTTCCAAACTATTAAAAAATGTAAAAGCCATTCTTAGCTCATGGGCTGCACAAAACCAGGCAGAGGGCCAGATTTAGCCCACGGTCATAGTGTGCCAACCACATCCCCACCCCACATCTGCTTGCTCTAAACATCTCTCTAAATCTTACTTTTCATATTTAGCAGCACATGTGGGCCCACATCCAGGTCAGCTGGTACGGAACTCACTCAGTCTTTCTAATGACTGCGTAACAGTCCCTGGGGTGGCTGGCCAAGGTTTATTCCGCCATGCCCCTATCATGGGCAGTTGGGTGGTTTCTATTTCCTCTCTCCCTCCCTCCTTTCCCTCTGCAAACATCACTTCAGTAGAATGGCTGCACACACAATGCTTCTTGGTTAAATCTCAGATCCCCTCCTAGTGGTAACATCCTACGATGCCAACTGATGCAAAACAAGCTAAGGCCCTGCTGATTCCTGGATCCTTTCACGCAAGATGATCCTGGTTTCCCAGAGAGCAGACAGCAAGCAATCTCCTGGGGTTTGGGACTGTGCAGAAATCACATCGACAGCGGAACCCCTCTCAGAAGCAAGCTAAGTGCCATGTGACATAAATTAAGCCTCTCCTAGTCTCTTGCCTGAAGCGGTTTTGCAACCCGAATATGAGAAGCCTCACTTAATCACAACCACTGTAGTGGTTGAGGGAGCACAGCTCCTGGTCACCTTCTGCTGCTCCAGCTGGCTTGGCCACGCTGCCTCACAGGCTGGGCCTCTGGGTATTATTTTTAGAAGATCTTTTCATTACATAAATAGCCCAAACAGCATGGCTCTCACCGCCACACTTAATTAACTTTGTAGGGGGTAGCAGCCAGGGTATGTTTTTTGAGAATCCCTATTTCTGATCAAAATTCTCTCTGAGTTTCCTTAACAGCCAGGTATAGGTATTTTGACATTGGACTGATGTTTTAGCTAACGTTTGGGGGGTTTCAAATCTGAAGGAACCAGCCTCATATAATTAGAAATTAATTCCTCCCTCCCTGCTTCTCTCCCTTCCTTCGTCCTCTCTGCCCCCTCCCTCTGTTCCATGTGGCAGATATTTCTTTCAGAACTTACAATGTGCCGAATGCTCTTCCAGGTGCTGAGGCACAACGATGAACAGAAAGCAGCGGTTCCTTTTTTCATAGTTTCAAAGAAGAACCACTTCTACTGTGTTTCTATTTTGCATCCCAGGTCCCAGAAGTTTCTGGACCCTTTGTGAAGGCAGGGGTCATTGCATGGAGCTCAATCCATCCTGCACCCCGTGGGTAGAACGCCTGCTGAGAGGGCCATGGCACCCAAGATTATCGCCATCACTGCCACAAGACTGTCGTCATCACAGTTAACATAAAACATACTTTGTTGAACTTTCCTTTCAAACTTCCAAAGCGATGACATGTTTATTGCAGTAAATGGAGTATCCTAAGGTACAGAGGAAGGGCCAGCTATTTGGGCTGTCACACACCCAAGCCCTCCTGCCGGTGTGAGGGGGTGACTGCTGCTGCCCGTTTGGCACGATGGGGGCTTCCACTCCTGTTCCCTGCCCCTAGGTGCACACAGGCCCCGCAGGGCACTGCTTCACACACACTCCCCACATTACTCACCTTTCCTTAACTTTAAAATTCCCATTGTATAATGGATGCTCCCTTAGGGCGCTGAGATCTAACTCATTCTTTTGGGGACCTAGGCCGTGGCAACACAACCACTATTGTGCAAAGATGTACGTCTGTGTCAGCAGGTTTGCAAGTAGCAAAAAATGAGAAACCACCTGAGTGTCCATCGGCAGGGGGATGGTTCACCAAATTACGGCCATCCGTGCTGCAGGACAGTCCTGGGCATGGTGGCGCCACGCACAGTAAATGGAGTATCGCTTCATCCTCACAATGCCCCGCGAGGGAGGGAATCACTGCCCACTGAGCAGCCGAGGAGATGGACGGTCAGGGGCAGAGTGCCGTCACACCCCATTAAGTGGCCAGAGAGCTGATGAGCGCGCAGCTCCTGCGCCTTCAGCCTGCCTTCCCACCCGTCCTGGGACCAGACCTCAGCCCGGCTTTCCAGCTGGATCTTACCTAACACCCCGCGTTCGTCCCCGGCCTCCCCATTCATGCAGCCAGGCCTCTTCCTCCTGCCCTAGCCCTGCTGTCTCCTTCCCCAAAAGTCCCGCTCCCTCTGCTCACGGCAGCTGCTCTCCTTTCAAGGCTGGGCTCCAACACCGCAGTCCCTTGGGAGCTCCCGTGGTGCCTGGAGGTGCAGGCACCCTCCCTTGTCCTTTGTACTGAGTTCTGCTGTGGGCACCTGTGGCCTTGTGTTGTTAATATGGCTCGGCATTTGTCCCAGGTAGGGACTGGATCTTGCCCACCTCTCTCCACCCCCATCTACCCATCCATCTGTCTGTCCCTCCGTCCATCCATCCAGCCAGCAAACATTTCCTGCTGTCTATATAAGGGAGAACTATGAGGCACAGGGAGCGTGTGTGTGTGCACGCATGCATGCGTGTGTGGTTTCCTCACCTTGGAAATCTAAGGGTGCTCACCATGGGATTCAGTGGGCTGGGTTAGTATGTCTGAATGGATGTGTGAGAAAAAGGCTATTTTTCCCAACATTTTACAGTGAAATTTTTCAAACACAAACAAAAAGTTGAAAAAACAGTACAACATACATTAGATCTCATGCAACGGTCCATGCACATTAGATAATTGTCTGTTCTCTCATTCTGCGCGTGTGTGTGAAAATCACATGAACTCAGTGGAAACAGAGTTCAGCACCCCATCTTGCGGGCAGCTGTACGGGTCACACTGCTCACTCTCGCATCGTCTCGTCTTTGCCTGCATGGCCTGTGAAAGGCACTTTCTGGAGATCTTGCTCATGGGTTGTGGTGCCCCACCCCCAGCCCCCAGGGAGGCTCCTGACCTCCAGCTGGTCATCACCAAGCACTGAAGCCATGAGAAAGAGCAGCGGCCAGCTTGAGCCGCCGCACGGCGCACCTCTCCGAGGCTGTGCTGGCCGGTCAGCCACAGCTCAGTATGTTGAATGCACTCAATGAGCTCGCAGATGTGTGTTAAGCCCACTATGCTGGGCTCTGCCCACAAATGCTGGGAGGTCTGCTCCAGTCTCTTCCCATGACCAGCCTTGGTTGTCTCTAAGTACAGATCCTTGGTGTGGCAATCCAGGTCATTGCTGACTGGTTCTATCTTCCCTCTTTAGTCTCAGTTCCTGCCTGCCAGTTGTCCTTTAGTGTTTGAGGACAACACTTTGAGAAACACAGCTCTGATGGCATTTAATTCCTCCTGGTTTTGGAAAGTGCCGGGCCGATTCTGACTCTGTGTCTTTGCACATGCTGTTCCCACTGCCTGGAATGCCTTTCCTCCCATCCATGCCTGGTGAGCCCTCACTCTTCCTTCAAATCCTGGCCTCCTCTATCACCTCCTCCAGGAAGTCTTCCAGAAATAGTTGCTCCATCCTCTCTCACTTCCTCCTCCCACTTGGACCACCTATGGCAGAGGCTTGTGCTTTCTGAGGGGCACAGGGTCCCCACTGGGTAGAATGCTGAGTTTTCAGGGCCCCAGGAAATCTCTCCTCCTACTGGGGTCCTGGGTGATTCACCATCAAAGTGTGTCTCCCCAGGAACTGAGTTGTAGTGGGTGGGACCCAGAATACCATTTCCCTTTTCCATCCTCCCACGCGGCAGCAGAGAAAACGGGGCTCGGAGGGTCACCCCACGAGCAGGGGTGTAGGTGGAGGCAAACCCAGGTCTGTCTGAGGCCCCAGCTTCCCTCTCACTGCTCCTCACCCACGAAATGCCAGAAAAAGTCCTGCGGGTGGTACGTTCTCTTTGCCAGCTAGAAGAGCCAGGCCACCCAGAAAAGCACGTCTGGGCCTCGGGGTCTCCTCCCCTCCAAATCTTATCAAGCCAGGTCTACCACTTTCTGTTTCCTTTTCACTGGGCAGTGAAATGAAGTTTCCCTTTCAGGATTTAAGCACCTAAACCTCAGGCGCAGCTGTGATGAGCTGGCAATTGCACAGGCAGCCAGCAATGTGGGGGAATCAGTTAAGCTCCTTTGACTGGGTTTCTCACTTGGCCTGAGAGATGAATCTGATCTCCCATGCGATCATTTACAACAGGAACAGAAAACGGTCTGCATCCAGCAACAAGCGTGTGCTGGCACCTTCTGGGGAGACAGTGGGCAATCCTGCAGAGGAGGTGGTGTGACCCTTATTCTGCAAACATCCACACTCAGAGAAGTGAAGGGCAGCCTCGGGGCTGAGGGCAAGGCCTCTGACATTGCCCGGTCTGGGTTCTAACCGCTGTGATGTCCTTTCACAGCTTGTGACCTTGGGATAATAATGTGTCCTCACTTGGTGGATGTGAAAATGCAGAGAGGAAAGGTCTGTAACACGCTTAGTGCCTGGCACCTGGTAGGTTGTATTATTTATAATAATGCTATAAAGTTATTATTTTATAATAATAAAAATGTTATTTGTATTGTTGTCTACAGCCACATGGCCAGGAAATAGCCTTCATGCGCTCTCTGTATGTTTACCGTGTGCCTTCCCGGGGCAGACACTGTGCTGGGTTCTGAGGATGGAGCGGTGAGTGCAACAGAGACAGACTTCTAGAAGCTCCTGTCGTGGCGGGGGAGAGAAACGTGAACAGGTCGCTGTGGAGCTGCTCACTGAGCTGCAGTCGTGTTAGGAGTCCTATAAAGGGGAGCATATGGCGCCTCAGGAAGCCACAAGGGCGACCGATCTGGTCTGGGGGATATCTGAGTTGAGCTCTGCACCTGCGGGAAGGAGGAAACTCAGCGAAAATGAGGGACAAGCAGGTTCCAGACAGGGAACTGTCCCTGCAGAAGCTCAGCGGCAGGAGACAGTGGATTCTAACCCAGAGCCACGGGAGCCTCAGGGGGGTCGGGGGGTGAGCGGAGTGGAAGGCAGTGGGCTACTACGCATCTTCCTCTCCGCTGCACACCAGGGCCCAGGGTGTGGCAGCTGGGGGCAGGCCTGGGTCCGACCCTGCTGACCCCCACAGTTATCACTGCAGGTCATGAGACACCGCTGTCACTGGGTCCCAGGAAGGTAGTTCCTTGTGTTTATGAGCCATAATTTCTCAGAACTTTCCCCCAAAATCGGCCATTCCAAATGTTCTGGGTACCTGTGCTGAGGGCATCAGAAATCGGCCCAGCCTCAACCCCTGAGGAGCTCTGCCCCTGCCAGGAGTCCCAGACAGCCCGAGAAGCAGGGGCTACGTCAGTGGGGCAACGTTCACTCTTTAAGGAGAGCACCGAGCCTCTGCAAGCCCCAGAGGGGCCACACTCACACGAGGCACTGAACAAAGTGCTTGAGGTCTGGAGGTGGGGCCTGAACCGGCTCTGGCTGCCAGGAAGCTCTTCTTCTCCCTTACAGATGCTGGACCCAGGTGCAGCCCCACCTGAGAAGTGCCCACAGCACCCACTGCTGGGAGCTCAGGGGCCCCTGCTCACTGCAACTCCGGAGCCTGAGGCAAGCTGTGGGGTGGGGGCCGAGGGACAAGGGGGTCCAGCATCCTGCAGTTCAGATACTGCCAAGTGATGGGTAATTGGGGCCATGGTGGGGCAACGAGGGGTTGGGGGAACTCAGAGGAACGGAGTTTGGCTCTGCAGGCGGTGGCGGCAACAGTTTTGTGTGTGTGTGTGTGTGTGAGCATGTGTGAGCACACATATGCCAAAGGCAACATTCTAATGGGCCTGGAAGACCCCATGAATGTTGAAAACACTCACAGTGCTGAGCCGGCAGGTGCACGTCTAGGAGACCGTCCTGGGATTCCCCACAACACTGTGAGCGTTAGCAGGGGCTGGAACCGGTGGGAAAGTGCACACGCAGCGTGCCATGCGGCCATCCGAAAGATGCACCAGGTTGTCTGGGTGATGAGGGATGGTGTCCAAACGTGCACCGAGTGAGACATCTGAAGGGAAGGTATGTGTGTGTCTCTCACGTGGACACACGTTGACACCGGCAGACGGCTGGGGCGGGAGGGGAAAGGTGGTGCACTTTGTACCCGCAATATCCTGAATAGGCCCATCCTGAGAGCCAGAAAGCAGGCTGGCGGTTGTTGGGGATCGGGGACGGGGGATGGGCTGACTGCTTCAATGGGTGCAGCGTTTCCTTTTGGGGTGAGGAAAATAGAGGTGCTGGTTGCACGCCGTTGTGAACGTCCTGAATGCTACCGAATTGTACACTTAAAAGGGTTAATTTTATCTTATGTAACTTTCACCTTAATTGAAAAAGAAAGAAGGAATAAAGACTGTCTCAGACAAACAATAGCTAAGGGAATTTGTGGTCACCCGATGTGGCTTCAGTTTCCCACACTAACTGTGGGCAGATGCCAGGCAAACAGCGTGGGGTCTCTCACTGATGAGAAAACATCCCAGCACGAACTGGTCACACAAGTAGTCAGGGAATGATCTGGACTAGATGCGTGCCTTGGGGTGGGGTGGGGGCACCTATGGACGCTCAAAGACTATGGGACCAGGCCTGGTTCAAAGCCCTGCCCACCTCTTTACCAGCCGTGTGTCCTTAACCTGTCTGAACCTGAGTTTCACCATCTGTCAAATGGGAATAATGATAATCTCTGCCTCACAGAGATATTAAATTATCTGTACTGCTCGGCAAATGGAAGTGGTCAGTGTCCTGGCTTGTGGTCCAGGTCCCTTCCTCCTCACTGTGATGCCAAGCTGATGAGGATCTGGGGCTGGGCCAAGGGTGGGAGAAGACTTGTGCCATTGCCCTTTGGGACCTTTGGAATCTTTTTACCTCAGGTCCGTATCACCGGTTCAAAACCTGACAGCCACATAGTTTGACAGGTGGAGAAGCGAAGGGGAGGGGATGCGACAGGGAAAGGAGTGGAAGCTGGGCCTTCAGGTCACACCCAGGGGCAGGACCAGCCACGTGGCCCGTCAGGGCTCCAGGGCAGGGCTACCACTTGGTCTGCTCAGGCCAAGAGCCCTTTATAAGAAGGCCTCCACTCCACGCTCACGGCCCTCAGGGACCTCTCCTCTTCCAGGCTCATTGCGCGGTTTCAGAATCAGACTGTGCTGGTCTCTGGTCTTGCCGTGCCTCTGCAATGCTCCCCGTGCCTGGCATCAAGATGACAAAGCCTGCATGACCTGGCCTCTCCAGCTGATCCTCAGGGGAGAAGTGTGCCTGGGGAGGAGTGCTGAGGAGTTTGAACTTAGTGCCGAAGGCAAGAGGAAGCTACTGAAGGTTCAGGCAAGGCCCAGGATTTCCCAGGGAAGTGGCAGCGGATGTGGGAACCCAGGTCTCTGGATGCCAGCCAGCTGACAATCAAGGAGGATACCGTCACCAATCAGCATGTAGAAAACGGCACTTCATGGCAGGCCTGGGGCACTCTGCACATCTCATTTACTCTTTACCACAACATCCTGAGGCGAGGGACTTTTATTTCCCCCCATTTTACAATGCAAAGAGTGAGGCTCAGAAAAGGTGAGGAATTTGCCCAAAGTCTCAACACCATTAGGCGGAAAGGTCAGGATTTGAACCCGGTCCGTCTGACTCCAGAATCCCTGTTCACCACCATGTATTTAGCTTCTCCTACAAAGAAAAAAAGAAACAAAAACCCTCTGGCCTTTTCAAAGGGACCCAGTGACCGCCTGCGCTTTGGCACCCATCCTCCTCCTTCGAGGTACCCCTCCTGCAACGGCATCCGTGCCGCTTGGACTTCTCGCTCCTTACTGCCATGGGCTAGATGGTCGCTCAACACCTCTTCAAGGTGGTAAAAGACTTCTGAGGGAGGCTGGGCATTAGAGAGAAAGGCCTGGTCTCCGGGACCTGCAGCCACTGGGGCCCAAAACCAGGCACGGTCTTTCTCCGTCTTCCAGGCGCCTCGTCCCAAGCACTGCAGCCCCTAGGCGGGCCCTCCGCACAGGCTGAGAGGGGAATGGATCTGAATGTCGTCTGGAATGTGGGGCAGGTTCTGTAACCACCACTGTTGGCGCAGGTCGTGTGAGCCCCACCCGCCCTTTGGACATGCCTCCACCAGCCCAGAACGGGATGGTGGGATCAAAGTGGACATTTTCTTAAAGGAATGCAATCAGCTTGGCATCACAGTGAGGAGGAAGGGACCTGGACCACAAGCCAGGACACTGACCACTTCCATTTGCCGAGCAGTACAGATAATTTAATATCTCTGTGAGGCAGAGATTATCATTATTCCCATTTGACAGATGGTGAAACTCAGGTTCAGACAGGTTAAGGACACACGGCTGGTAAAGAGGTGGGCAGGGCTTTGAACCAGGCCTGGTCCCATAGTCTTTGAGCGTCCATAGGTGCCCCCACCCCACCCCAAGGCACGCATCTAGTCCAGATCATTCCCTGACTACTTGTGTGACCAGTTCGTGCTGGGATGTTTTCTCATCAGTGAGAGACCCCACGCTGTTTGCCTGGCATCTGCCCACAGTTAGTGTGGGAAACTGAAGCCACATCGGGTGACCACAAATTCCCTTAGCTATTGTTTGTCTGAGACAGTCTTTATTCCTTCTTTCTTTTTCAATTAAGGTGAAAGTTACATAAGATAAAATTAACCCTTTTAAGTGTACAATTCGGTAGCATTCAGGACGTTCACAACGGCGTGCAACCAGCACCTCTATTTTCCTCACCCCAAAAGGAAACGCTGCACCCATTGAAGCAGTCAGCCCATCCCCCGTCCCCGATCCCCAACAACCGCCAGCCTGCTTTCTGGCTCTCGGGATGGGCCTATTCAGGATATTGCGGGCACAAAGTCCATGTAAATTGGGAAGTGTGGGACTTGGGGAGAACCCTGGTTCTCTTTTCACTCTCTGCCTCCCCTTCATCCACCTGGGTCCTCAGGCTAGACACTTAGCATCATCTTGACTCCTGTCTTTCCTTCATCCTCAACAGCCAACTCATGAGCAAGCCTGGTGCATTTGCCTCTGAAACTCACACCCCCAGGGTGTGTTCGCCTTCCCTGGCCGCAGCCACCACGCTGGTCTCATCCAAGTCAGCACCATGTCCCGCCTGGACTTTCGTGACGGCTCTTGACTGGCCTCCCTGCTGCTCCCTTTACCCACCAACACCACCACCGGCTTATGTCTCGCCTGTGTGTCCCATTGCACCCTCTGCTCAGCTCACAAGGCCCCACAGATGTGCACCCACCTCTCTGATCTCCTACCTCACCCCCGGGCCTCAGTGGATACCTGGCTGCACTGACCTTGTTCCGGTGCCCTGGACGTGCTGCTCACTCCACCCTGGAGCTCTGCTGTGATCCACGCCGACATGGACAGTCACATCAGGCTGCAAAATCAGCTCCACAGCGGGCCCTCCTTGACCCCCGCAGCTGCTCCCTCACCTCTGTCCTAGCCCCCTTCATTTGGCTTCCGCAGCACCATTTTTCCCTGGCATTTTCCTGGCTTCCCTATTTGTTCATTATTTCTCTCTCCCCACTGAAAGTGAGCGCTGCTGAGGGCCAGGATCCCTGCTGCCTTGTTCCCCGACAGGCACTTCAGGGCGGCTCAATTAATACCTACTGGATTGCCTAAAGGCAGATTGAAAACAACCATCGTAACAACATCATATCCCATTTATCGGGCACTTTGGAAGCGCCAATCTTTACATGCTTTATCACGTTTAATCTCTGCAACACATACTACACGTACGCCGTTACTCATCTCTGTTTGACAGAGGAGGAAATCAAGGTTTATGGTGCTGTGTGACTTGGCAAAAGTCCCCAGCCGGCAGCAGGCCGGCAGATGTGGGAAGGCCTGCGGAGGGCGGTCTCAGGGCAGGAGTTGGACTGTGCCAAACGAAGATCTGCCTTGTCCTTCTGGGGGAGGCGACGTTGCAGTGTTGCAGCGAGGCCCAAACCTCTGCCATCCAGCGGCAGAACTGGCCGGGGAGGCAGGGACCGGGTGGAGAGGGCATGGGCTGGGAATCTGGACCCTGCGGGTGAGTCCCTGTGGGAGTCTGACTTGCTGTGTTACCTCTGGCGAGTTTCACACCCCAGGTTCCTCCGCAGAAAGCTGGGAACATGTGCTTTGGATGGCAAAGGCCTCTTCCAGCAACTTTTGTTTGTGTGTGTGGGAGGGAAGGAATCCGAGCCCCGCAGATGACAAAATTGGAGGGCTCTGGGTGGAAACAAGACACAGGGGTCACCCGGTGTTTAGGAACTGCTTTTACAGCATCCCAGAGAGGCATACCTCCAACGACAGGGGGCTTACTATCTTACAACTTATTTGTCAGTCAGTCATGGCCATTTAAAGACATTTATGGAGACCTACATATTCTTTTTTTTTTGGAGGCCATACCCTACGGCATAACAAATATATTGTGATATATGCACATTCCATAGAAGATATAATTTGCATATAACTACTTTTGGGTTTTTTTGGTGAAGGAGATTGTCCCTGAGCTAATATCTCTTGCCAATCGTCCTCTCTTTGCTTGAGGAAGATTGTCACTGAGCTAACATCTGTGCCAATCTTCCTCTTTCTTATGGGGGCTGCTGTAAGAGAGGGGCTTGACAAGCGGTGCTAGGTCTGCGCCCGGGATCCAAACCTGTGAACCCTGGGCCACTGAAGTAGAGCGTGCAAACTTAACCGCTGCGCCACCAGGCCAGCCCCACATATAGCTACTTAATATAAACTGCCACGGCCTAGCTGCCACAGTATTACATTTGCAGATGTCTGATTAAACATTTATTACTTGCAAGTTTGTGGTTTTCTTTTTATGTTTTAGATCTGGTACGTGTGTGCGTGTGTGTGAGAAAGAGAGAGTTTGTAGATATTTTGTAGGTTCCTGAAAAGCTCAGAGGCCCCGGAGAACAAGCCTAAGTCCCTTTTTCCAGGCAGCCCTAGAGAGGTCCATGTTCTCTGAGTTTTTGCTTCTCTATGACTGAACAGCCCTCAGGTCCTTAAACTTGACCCATCAGCATCACCATTGCCATCATGGCTACTACTGTCCTCACCATCATCCCACCATCATCACCATCCCATTCACCACCATCTGCACCAGCAGCAGCCGCTGCCTCATGAGCTGGGCACCAGAATGTCCCCCCCAACACTGCATCTTCCTTCCTCTGTTCTGCTTTCCGCGGGCCTCACTCCAGGAAGGTCTTGCCCTCCAGCAGGGTGCAGCTTGCTCTCACAGGCAGCAGTCCTGCAGCCAGCTGGGCCACCTTAACGCTATCAGCAGCCCACAGTCAAAACTTGCCAGGCACATTCGCACACACCGGTTACCTCACATAATTCTCTCGGCCCTTCCCTGCTTTCCACCGCCCCTCCGCCTGCCCCGGGGCTCATTTTGAGTCCTGTAGGAGAACTCTGTGGAGTGCCAGGGCAGACACTGTTACCCCATTTTGCAAGTGTGGCACAGATAGGCTGAATGCCTAGGCCGAGGCCACACAGCTGGTCGCAGTCGGGAAGACCCTCTCGGCTTCTAACTCCCGACAGCCTATCCCGTCCCACACCTCCTGGGTTTCTCAAACCTCATCTGTTCACGTTCCACCTCCACAATTTTTGCCAAACCCGTAAAATACTAGTTCCATTTTTTACCTAACATTTTTCTTTAAAGTGACTAAATTTATTGCAAAAGGAATTTTTTTTATCATTTTAATAACCACCAGGATCACTTCCCTTCAAATAAGTCACCCTGAAAATAAATGCAGTGAAAACACACCCAATGTTGTTATATTCCATGTAGCTGCTGCTGCCCAAGAGCCAGCCCAGCCCCGTGCTGGGCAGGCAGATGGACGGACGGACAGACGGACGGACAGACAGAAACCTCACTGACATTTTTCTGTGATGTGAGAGAAGGCTTGAAGGAGAACGGAACAGGCATCTTCTCACCGTATGATGGGAGGTTTGTGGCTCTCTATGCCACGACCCCCTGAGTCCACCTCGGGATCCCAGGCGGCCTGCCCCACAGTGGAGGAAGCAGTTCACTCACCCCAGGAGGCCAAGGCCGTGGAGGGGAAAGGAGCCGGGATCCTCTCTGAGGCTTCGTTTTCCCCCCACAGCACGGGGTGCTGGGAAGAGGAAGGTAAAGGTGGAGAGATGGTGCCAGAAGCTTTGTGGCTCCCCGGCAAACATTACTCCCCTCCCCACGGCCATCCTCTGGGCTTCATGTCCCACCTTTCCTTCGAGAGAAGGCACCCAAGGTCGCCAGATGAAGAAGGAGCCAGGAGAAGAAATGAGCCGCGAGGAAACACGGGTCTGCATTTGGGAGCGTCCGAGTGCAGGCGGCTGGGTGAGGCTAGAGCGGCTGTTTGGGTGCGAAGGCTGCCCCTCACCCCACCCCCAGAGCAGCCCCCAGGACCCTGGTGAGAAAAAGGGTCTTCACAGCAGCACAGCGTGTCCTAATCCCAGCTCTGCCGCTCAGTGAGGAGAGCTAGCCAGGTGGCTTTGCCTAGGGCCCGCTTTCCCTTCTGCAACCAATGCAAATGAAACCCAGGGTGATACCACTGCACACCCACTGGGATGGCTAGAATCCAGAAGTCAGATAAGAAGTGTTGGTGAGGATGTGGAGAAACCGGACCCCTCACGCACGGCTGGTGGGAATGTAACCGGACGCAGCTGCCGTGGAAAACGCTCTGGCAGTTCCTTCAGAGGCTAAAGAGCATGATCACAGGACCCAGCAATTCCACTCCTGGGTATGTACCCAAAAGAAATGGAAATACACATCCTCACAAAAACCTGTACACAAACGTTCACAGCAGCGTTATTCATAACAGCCCCAAAAGTAGAAACAACCCAAATGCCCACCAACTGATGAATGGATAAACAAAATGCAGTATATCCATAAAATGGAATATTATTTTGGCCATAAAAAGGAATGAAGTACTGACACATGCTACCACATGGATGAACATTGAAAACATTACGCTGGGTGAAATAAGCCAGTCACAAAAGGTCATATATTGTTCCACTAATCATATGTTATATGATTCCACTGATATAACATGTCCAGAATAGGCACATCCACAGACACAGAGAATAGACTAGTGGTTGCCTAGCCTTGGGCGGGAGTGGGGGTGGATAGAGAGTGACAGTTTTGTGTACAAAGTTTCTCTTTGGGGAGACGAAAATGTTCTGGAATTAGATAGTGGTGATGGTTGCATAACCGTGAATATACTAAAAATCACTGACTTATGCACTTTAAATGGGTGAATTTCACGGGATGGGAATTATACCTTTATAAAGCTTTAACTTTTTTTTTTTAAAGACCAGTCTGGTTGCTGGTGGGGGCAGAGTGGCAGCAGGGAGGCCAGCGGCCAACAGTGCAGTCACAGGCTCTGGTGCCCAGCACATCGGTGAATCCCCGTGGGTGCCTTGTTGGGCTGAGCCCATCGGGAAACGCCCTTCTCTAATTGGATTTCTCAGCCCGGCACTGGGGACACACTGGACAGGACAGCCTTCCGTTGCGGGGGCTGTCCTGTGCCTTGTGGGATATTTAGCAGCATCCCTTCCCCCTACCCACTATATGTCAGCACCCCCCGACATGTGACAATCGAAACTATCTCCAGACATTGACAGATGTCCCCTGGGGATGAAACTGCTCCCAGGTGAGAACCCTGCTCTAACTTCTCTTGCTCATCTAGTGAATTCTTGCTTATCCTTCCAGAACCATTTCAGACATCTTCTCTTCTGGGGAGCCTTCACCTTTTCTCCTCTGAAGCCCCACAGTTTCCTAAACTACCCCCTCCCCCTGTCAGAGCCCCGAGGACACTGTTTACACACCACTCTCACCCCAGCCCTCTGTAGAGATGGCAGCTTGTGTCCCTTTGGGTCCCTAGCATCTGGCACAGAGCCTGGCACTTCAGAGGTTCCTGCTGAGCCATTCTTCACCTGTAAAGTGTGGAGATGCACTGCTTTCCCCAGGGTCTCTGCGACAGGTGCACACATGTTGGCAGTGGAATCTGTCACCCTCCTGACTCTGGGTAGGACCGTAGGCTCTGGGTTTAGACAGCCTGCGTTTGAAACCCAGGTGATGCTGGGCAAGTGACTGAATTATCTGACTCTTGGTTCCTTTTCTGTAAAATGAGGATATTGATAAGACCTACCTCATAGGATTCTTGTGAGCACATAGTAAGAATACAACAAATGTCAGACGTTATTGGTATTAGTAATTTAGTGTTCCTTCTTTCTTCTAAGGGGCCTTCCAGGTAGCCCTATCATTGACAAGCATCCACATGCCAGCCCTGTCCTGGGTGCTGGCCAGGAGGAGGTGGGGTTGGGTGGGTTATATTGTCACTAGAAGCCAGACAGTTCTATGTCCACTAATTACTACAGTATACGCTAATTGCATAAAATCTAGAAAGTTCAGAAATTATAAAGAGGGAACAAATCTCCTATAATTTCACAGCCCACTGGCAAACATTGTTAACACTCTGGCTTACTCCCTTCCAGTCTTTTTTCTAAGTGCTTGCCACAAACTTGTGACCATGTCATACATATGCATATGCACAAGTGTGCCCCCATTTATTAAAAACTGTCCATTTTTAGTAGCCACATAGCTGTCCTGTAATTTACATAATTGATCCCCTATTGTTGGACATTTAGGTGCTCTCTGACTATTAACGAATATCGTTGCATTGGAAAGTGCCTTCGCTCATATTCCCATCATTCATTTGGATGTTCTCCTCTTCTTTTAAAACATTTTTGGCAAAGGAACCTCTCTAGCCTGCTGGGACGTCCATTTTCCCATCATCAGGGATTTCCTGCTCAAGGGTGTGCTAAATCATTGTTATTGGGACTTAATCCTATTTCTCCTTCTTTGGGACTTTGGTGGAGATGGACCACAGCTGGCCTTGTTTTCCCGTCAGACACACCGCCTGGCAGGGTCAGTTCAGTTAGTCATCAGTGGAGGATGGAGAACTGAAGGTGCCTGTGAAGCCAGGAGAAGGGTCCCCGGCCAAGGTTAAGGGAAGTGAGGGTAACCAGGACAAGGCGGCAGAGGAAGGAAGAGAAGTCGGCAGGCTGGGGGAATTAGCCTGATTTCTGCTTCCTATGAGATGCCGAGGAGCGACCTTCCTTCCTTCCAGACCCCTAGAGAAGTCCCTCGGCAGAGGTCTCCAGCCCCACGGCCAGCCTGCAGACTCACTTTCTCCTGGGATGAGGCAGCAGCTCTTCTTACTACACATGGAACAAGAAACCAACGCTGATCAGGCACCCACAGGTGCCGGGTCCTGGGCTAGGCACCTTTCACAGTCCTATTTTGGGGCCGGTGTGGTACTGTCAGAAGCACTCCGGAGTCAGGCAGACCTGGGGCCAATCCCAGTGCAGCCACTTCCTTCCAAAGTGCCCTGTGGGGTCGCTGAGTCCTGGGAGCCTTGGTTTTCTCATCTGTAAATCGGGTGTGATGACACGGGCTTCCCATGATTATTGTGAGGATGATAGCCAACGTTGTAGACATAAGGCACAGAGGACCAGGCATGCACAGGACAGGTGCCAGAGAAATGTGCTTTTCTCATTCTATTCAATTCCTGTCGTGTCTCAGGGTCAGAGATGTCAATAAAAATAATCTACCTAGTTGCCTTTCATAACCTCCAGCAACAGGGACCTGATTAGTAGGTAGGAATTCATAACTTTCTGTTACAAATAAGGAAACAGACTCTGAGAGATTCAGCCAGGAGTCTTCACAGGACATAAACTGTCATTCCACAGAATTCACATCTTAGAGAACCATCAAGATGTGTGTCTGGGTTGGGGGGTGGAGCTCCCTGGTCCCCCAAATTCCCTGGGCCCTGCTTCAGGCCCAGCCAGGACACCGACCATCTCTGGCAAAGGAGACCAGAGAGGACCCGGCGCATACAAATGAGGTCCCAGGAGGCAACCAGTGCCAGCATTCTGACCACCCAAGTGAAGGCGTGACAACTGCCATTGGGGACACCACAACCCGCAGGTGCAGGTGCTTTCTTGCCACCTCCTTATCCTCACAGCCACCACAAAGGGGGCATTAGCATGCCCCTGTTCACAGGGAGGTAACTGAGGCTCGCATTTTCAAGGTCAACTGCACCACTTCAGCGGCGCAGAACTGGGTTTCCGAGCCCAGGGCATTGCTGGGCTCATCCCCTTATCTCGGAGGCGAATGGCTGTCCAGATGTGCCCAGAGGACTCCTGCCGAGCGGAGCGCTGCCCTGTCCTCGCTCCCGGGCATCGGGCATCGGGGCAGCAGCCCGGGAGGACGACGGCTCCCGAGGGGCTAGCAGCCCCCTCCCCGCCGGTCCAGGCCCTCTATCGGCTTTCCTTAAGCAAAATCCTCCATGCTCCGACAGACACATCTCCCAGCTAAAACGCGACCGCCCACACCCGGGACACACCAGGGACTGTTTCGGCGCAAGTGGACTTTCTAAACCCACCCCCATGCAAGCAGAGGGGACGTACACCCGACCCCGCTCCCGAGCACTGCAGCGGACCTGGGCTGCATCCCGCGCTCGCAACGCCCCCTCGGCGCGGGCACGACCCGGCGGGTCACAGAGAAGGAAACTGAGGCTCGCAGGTGGAGGGACCTGCCCAAGGTCAGGCACCGCCAGCGAGCGGCGGGGCCGTGGCTCGAAGCCGGGGTCAGGGTGACGACGGCCGCGGGAACCCGCAGCAACCGCCGGGCGCGGTCCCGCCAGCGCCCGCCGGGCATCCCACCCCGAGCCGAGGCCCCGCGGAGGCGGCGGCCGCGTTACCTGGAGCTGCAGCCGCCGAGCGTGGCTCCGCTCTGGCTCGCCTCGGTCCTGCGCCGCGCCAGCTGCGCTCCGGGCAGGGATGGAGCGGGCGGCGCTGCCCGCCCGCGCCCCGCACCCACTTCCTCGTCTCCGCCCCCGACTCGCTCCTCCTCGCTCTCAACTGCTCCTTCCCTTCCTTCCCTTCCTTCCCTCTCCGTCTCTCTGTCTCCCCTTCTCTCTCTCTCCCTCTCCTCTCCTTCCCCCTCGCTCCATGCACGGCGCGCGCACACATTTTCTCTTCGTTGGCTTTTCTCCCTCTCTGCACTGCCTCTCCCACACTCTCACCCACTTTCTCTTCTGCTTTCTCCCAGACCTTCTTTCCTTCCCTCTCTGGCTCTGACACTTCTCCCTTCCTCTTTCTTTCTGTTACACTGCCCCCTCTTTCTCTCACTTTTTTCCCTTGTTCTCCCCCCACTCCCCCCTCAGCCTGGCCTGGGACCCAGCATCCCTCCACCTGTTCCGTAATTGGTGGAGTGGAAGGGGCTCCCAGCTGTGGCCCAGCTGGGGATCAGGTGGGCCCCACACCTTGAGTGCCCAGCACCCAGCTACTTCAAACCAGGCTAGAAGTGAGAGAAAGAAGTAGTTTGTGGGGGAAAACCCTGGCTAATTCTGGGATCTGTGGAACTTCAGAAAGCCCCAGAGTGGATTTGTTCTAGTTGAAGAAAGGAATGGTGAGAGAGAAGAGGTAGGGAGGAAGTCCTCGGGAAAAGGAACTTTTTGGGTAGGGAAAATAACGTCCACATTCTAGATAAGAAAATAGAGGCTCAGATGGGAAAAGCTGTCTCTTAAATATCAAGATGTCAAGGCTGCTGTGCTAACCACGCAGACCTCAGTGGAGGGAACCTGGGTGGGCAGGATGGCCAAGGGCGTTGTGCCAGGCCTGGAATGGTCAGCCAAGTGTACAGGAGGCAGGTGGTCAGATGGGCTGCTCCTGGTTGCTTGGGGAACCTGATACCTGGAGGTTATCAGAGACAC